CTTTTCTACTGTTATTCATTCCATTACGTTGGATGTGAATCCATTAATTTTATAATTTAACTATTATGAACTAGTCATTTTGCAGGACCACTGAATTTATCACTATTTTGTGGGTATCAATAGGAATGGAGTTGAGTAAATGCATTTCAGATTATTTTGTAATGTTTTTAAAACAATTTTTCAATTCGAAACAAAGTTTCTTAGAATAGATTCATAAATTGGCGTTGCTTGACAGTGGAGGAGGATTGACTTGCAACTGTGATTGTTTATTCGATCGAAGCAATCTTTAGATCACTGTCCATGCGACCATAATGAATCTATGTTGAACTCTTACTTCTCAAAGCCGGAAACCATTTTCCAAGAAAATTTACTAAAAACAAAATACAGTTACTATTAAGTACTAGTTTTTTTAGATCGTTCAGTTTATTATATTTAACTGGGACCTATTAAAAATGGCGTTGAGTAAGTGCTTCAAAAGTATTTTTTTCTTCTAACTCACCTTATTTCTCATGAAGGGCTTCCATGATTAGTTTCAAAGGAAGCTGGTTTGGATGCAGTATATTTGAGTGTAAAATGTAGGCATCCTTTGCAATTAAATATACTAACATAATGAAGTCAGGCGTTGTGTATAGAAAACTTCTGAGATGAGAAAGGGCCACGTAAAGAAAGCAACTTACTCATCTTGGGATCCAAGATGGCAATACTATAAATCACTTAAATTTGGAAAAGAAGCCGCAATTATCTCTTGGAATATGATGTTTGTAGGGAGCATGGTACTTTACGTAGTCAAAGACCCGTGTGTCCTAAATATTGGGTACATAACTATCATTATGTACACATGAACGATGGCACAAATATCGACACTAGGAATTATATGTTAACGGAATTTTATTTTGGCGCATTTCACCTCTGCTCAAAATTAAAGGCTAATCGCGTTGCTATGTACACTTGTATAATATTGTCTACGAGTTTCGATTAGCATAATTGCGAAGGCTATTGTCTACTGAATTGTTCTGCCCTTATCTGCCAATCAGGTCAGAGTTAATCAAGAGATCAAGACATAATTTGCTATCATATGCTGGGTTCCAGTAAACTGGCTTTAACATTTTTACAGATTTAATTTTCCTTCATATACTTTTTATTTTGTGTGGCTACTTTGACATTTATCTTTATTGACACCTGTTTAATACTTTATGCAAAATGTGCCTATAATAAAAAGCATTGCGAAAATACTGTGGTATGACTTTCCATTTTGAATAAAAAGTTTGTTAGAAAGAATTCGTGTCTTGGCCTCAATGGAAACCGAAGGAAAATCGCCTCTTATTGTGCGAAGAAATACTTGGCTCACCGTCCTGCGACTCCGATGAACTTGTGCTAAGTTTTCGTTTGTACCACTGTGACAAATGCCGTCAGAGCAAGAACCTATACTTTACGAAATAGAGCAAAAATATACTAAACCAAGAGAAGAGGCGACCGGCTACAACCCTAGTCGTTTTTTTATACACCTAACCTTAATTAGGCACTCCGTGATTTGGTTTGCTACCTCAAACTTATTCTACATGCTTGCAGATGAGCAAAGTTACTTCACGAACCGGAAGTGTGTTCGATGGCAGCTATTTCTCGACACAAATAAACTACTGTACGATCATCTGATGATTCATGTTTGCACTTGTGCTATTGTCTATTGTGTGTATGTAATATTCGTGTCATGGGAAGTGTGATAGTCCTAGCTCAGACATGGTGAGCCGAGGATTTCTTCACACATTACAACAGTTTTTCCTACGCGGCAATCCTCCTTTATTTTCAGATGAGACCACATCATAAATTCTATCCTACTAACTTTCCTTCGAACTGAAAAGTTATATCATAATATATCACTAAGGAACTCTTCGAAACCCACTTTTTCTTCATGTTTCGAAAGCAAGTTTTAATTTGGCAGAGCACCATGGAATCTCGAACAATGGATGATTCGAGCATAAAAATGTAATTGCATTTCCTTCCTTAGATGACAGTTATGAAACAATGACAGACAAACTTTTCATTATTTTGGTATTCTGGATCAACTTGAGTAGAATTTTCATAAAACATGCTTTGTATTTATCCACCTTTATCTGTACGTGTTCATCTAAAACAAATCATTTCGGTTATTCCCAATGCTCCTCGCTGTTATATAATATTGATGGGGGGGCCTTTGATTTGAATTTAACTTAAGTTGTGTAATTAATCGCTGGTACAAGAGTATAGGTAAAATAACATTATTCGAATTTCAATATTCCCAAGATTACCTTCTTTGAATCAATTTTTCATGACTATTTTCCACTTCTATATTAGGTGGCCATCGATCAATTGGTTTGCCAGATTGATGATCGAGCTTTTGTACTCGGCAAACCAGCCAAAGCAGGTCTTTCTCGTGCCTTTGTCCGTCCCTCAGGCACCGAACCCGTTGTGCGCGTCTATGCGGAATCAGCCACTAAGGAACTGGCCAAATGGCTGGCCCATGCAGTTGCAAAATCTGTTTTGCGAGTGTTAAATACACACTCACACGATATTTTGGCTACTGAGTTTCAGCTTGGGACATCTTGTGTTGATGAAATTCCCGATTTTTGACTAAATTTATCCATTCATTTACATGTCTCTATGCTGATAGAGACACTGTCTCGTTTTCCTCCACTAATGAAATTTACTCTACTTATCCATCTCTTTGGTGGAATAGTTTTTTTTTTCATCCATTTTGGTCTTTAACTATTTCCTACGGATAGTGATTTATATTTTCTTAAACATCTGTATTTTGACTTCTTAAATATTTTTTTTTGTACTGCTTTTTTCTATTCGTAATTTTAATTTAAATCATGGTTATGAAGACCAAGATGGTGTGCTCCTTATTTGGACGTCTCCATTCGCTATATAAAATAGGTATGACCTCGCTTGCGCAACTTGTATTTGGCATCAATGAAATCCTAGAGAACGTACCCCGTACTGCGTTCCTTGCAATTGTCCAGCTGGCGATGAGATGTTGGCAATAATTATGTCTACTCTTGCAGAGGACGGAATACGGAGTACATTTTACTAGGTCTCCTTGACCAAATTTATTTCTTAAGCCTTATTTCACAATTCTGAGTTATTTAGACTAATGTACTATTGAAAATTATTACTTTGCACTATCTTGCAGCCTTCGTACACTTGCATGCATTTAATTGGGGTGTCTTCATCTCTATTCCAATATATATATATATATGTGTGTGTGTATGTAATGTATGCATGCATATGCGTATGTGCATATATGTATGTGTACATGTTTGTATGTATCACACTATAATTTTAAGCTGACAAGGCTTCTTGTCCTAAAAATAGTACAAATAAATTTTAAATGACAATTAGCTAACCTTGCGCAATGCAGCTTAGTAAAAGCATCCCTGCTGGCTATTTCAATTATGAATATTTTGGGCTAGGTTTCTGTCAAAGGGTCGCATCTAGATTGGTCTAACTTAATAATTATATACAAGACTATTTATCATGCTTTGGTTTTTGTCGGCTTGCACTTGAATTATGCCACATACTTTTATACGATATTCATGTTGACGCAGTCCACGAGACTTCCTCCCTCGTTTCGGGTGAAAATATGGTGAGCTTTCATCCATCATATGATGGACATCATCAGAGATGGGTGTCATTCTTGTAAAAGTGTCACGTTAACTAAAGCAAGAACACTATTCGGCTTTCCGCTTTGAGCGCTGCCATTATTAAACATGGCTTATCCCCTAGGGTTATCTTAGCAGATAGCTGTAAATTATTTTTAGGAATTTCTAACGCTTTGCTCTTTACCTTTTTTCATTTTCCGTTTCTAAGACGGCTTTTGAGACCGTACGAAGATTTGTCATAAGTTCTGTATTCACCCTATTTCGTTGAGGTGAGTAAGGAGTGCCATTTGAATTTTCCAATTGATATGAATATGCCTCAGGTTTCAATTAAATTTAGCATTGCTCTCATCCAGGGTGAACTGAAGTTTCGACCTCACCCAGGGCTCAACAGCACCCTCAGCGGGACTTAAACCCGAGTAGCGCAACCCGTAGTCTCGACGCGTTAACTACCATGCCGCATCGTCACTAGTGCCCAGAGCCTCTTGACAGACGCACATTCAAAGGAAGGTCAGGCCTTTTCCATCTACCTTGTCGATTAAGTTGTATTTACAATAACTATAGGATAAATTATTTATTTTT